ATGCGTAAGCTTTCGTCAGGTTTTGGCGTGAAAAGCACTGGTGCACTATATGGTGATGTTGATGGTCGAATGAGTCCTTTATCCAGAAGGTACTCGATCTGTTTCATCATGTCGGCCAACTCGGTTGGGCTGAGTCGATATGGTGCTCGGAAAGTCGGTTTCGAATCAGGTTCTTCAATGATCTCGTGCTGGTGGGTTCGGTATGGCGGCAACTGGTCTGGAAGGTCGTCATGGAGAACGTCTTCGAACTCCTCTAGAAGTTTCGGGATTGCTGGTGGAAGCTCAAGCATCTTCCTCTCTCCTTCGTCCTCGTTGGTAACCAGTGCAACAAACCCTGCCATGGTTCGCTTCACGTCCTTCTCGAAGCGTGCGAGAGTCTCCTCCGGAATATCTCCCGTGTTGCTCCAACGCGGAAGTGGAACTCTTCTCTCTTAATTGTAAATACTCTCCGTGCGGGTGACCCAGTTGATCTCAGGGTTGAACTTCTTCAGAAAGTCTCTTCCAAGGATCAGGTCTAGCCCTTTGATGTTGGTGACGGGTAGGGTCGGTTTCCAACGAAGAGGACCCATCTGCAGGTGTAACGCTGCTTCGCCGTAGACTTGTAATTTGCTTCCGTCAACCATCGTAGCTGTGAAGCTTGAAGGCGTGTACTTCTCATAGATGCGTTTGAGAGCTGTCTTGTCACATACTGAATGGGATGCTCCGCTGTCCACGAGTGCTTGGAGGCGTCGTCCGTTGCAGATCACCTCGAGCAAAAGTGGTTGGCGTTGCTCGTTTTACCCGTTGATTGTCTCGTTGATTGGATCATAGGGCATTTCCCATAGCTCTGTGTTTTCTCCTGGGCTGGCAGATGGCCGGTCCTGCCGTTCCCTATTGCCATGATTTTTTGTTGTCGTCGACGACGTGGTTCTCGAGCTCGTAGTAGAATTCATAGATGGGTTAGATACCGTAGATGTTTCAGATGTTGCAGATGCATCTGTAGAGGAGGTTTGAGGTCGTCGCAGCTTCATATTGAGCTCCAGCTCCCTCTTGACCTGCTTCAGCGCCACCGACTTCTTCCGTGGGGACCGGTTGGTCGACATGGGCTGGTTTTTCTGAGAGAGGACGATGTCGTCGTTGGAAGGTCGATCTTCCACGCTCCGTTGTTGGTTCCCCATGCGCAGCTGCTGTAGTTGTCATACCGGTACATTTTTTTTCTTCTGGAGCCTCTCTCGTGATTTCACCAAGGCCGTAGACCCAGGGGAGTTTTTCCCAAATAAAGCATCCTTGTATGAAAAATTTAAGGGGTGCTTACTTTTTACAGGGCCTTTTTGGAGTTGTCCGGGTCCAGCAGGGTCTTGTGTCGCGGAGATTTTATTTCCCTCGGCGATTTTCCCTTGTAGAGTCCATTCGTGGGTTGAAGAATTCACTCCACGATCCTCCAATATTCGCATTAAATCTGCTACACTACTGCGATCCCGAAGCGCTGCACGTGCGGTTTTCATTTTGTTACAATCGATGAGTCGATGTCCTGGCTTTGCCGCAGAAAGAATACTTAGATTTGTTCTTCTTTGGTCTTGCCTTCGCGTCGATTCGATCGAGTTCCATCGTGTTGGCGTACGTGGGGGTAGCCAAGCGTCCTCCATGTCGTCTAGCTCGTCCATGAAGTCGTCGTGTTCCGATCGTGGTTACGTCGAAACGTTCCGCTGCCGAAACGGCGTCGTTGTAGCTGCTCCAATTTGCGGCCGCCACATGTTGTCGTATTTCGTTTTTCAGCCCCGCGATGAATGCTCTAGTTTTTTCGCCTTCCGTGACGTCGGGGATGCGATTGAACAACTCCTCCATTTGTTGCGTGTAGTTTGTGACGCTCCCGACTTGTCGATGACGATGCATTTTGTCGCGGGCGATTAACGCGGCATTAATCGGCTCAAAACGTTGTAGTAATCCTTCACGGAACTGCTGCCACGTCGCTTCACCTTGGTTTAATAAACCGCTTCCGCTTATCCATTCAATTGCTGGTCCGCGCGGTAGTGTTGCTGCAAAAATAATTCTGTTTCTGTCGAGTGCTGGTGCTGTCATCCAATGGCGGCGAAATAAATTTCGATCGCCAAAAGCCAGCGCTGAGCGTCGTTTTCCCCATCAAAGGTGTTGGGGGCTCGAATTTCTTGGGCCTTGGGAAAATTTCGCGACTGCTGCGAAGTCACGACCGATTCTGCTTCTGTCGCAATTTTCGCCATGACGCGCGCTTTCACCCGATATCGTTAGATCCGTCGCGCGTCGGTCTTGCTACTCCTGCACCGCTCGATATAGGTCCCGACAATTCGCAATTGTCGTCGCTATATCGCAAACGATTTCGCCAACAAATCAACTCATGAACCTGTTCAAAAAACGCGCGAGGGGGGTTATTAAAAAAACGCGGAATCTGGTGCTTACCAGCGTCAGCTCCAAATTCGTCGCCCCAGGCAATTTTTCGAAGCAGGAATTTCTTGAGCGCGCTGCTTAGCTGAAACTCCGCGAGTGAAAACGGCTCTGATTACCAAGTGTCACAGGATCGAATTTCCACTCGAGAATGTTGCACTAAAGGTGAGTACAAGGCGTATTTATACTCAGAAATACATAGAAACAACAGATAATCCGAACCTTCGGGAACACGCTCTTCTAGAATAGATAATCACAAGTGCGCATAAGCACGCAAGCCCATTGGTACATTGGATTATGGCAAGATTACGCCTTGTACACCACTGTCGGTGCTGTCAGTGCCGTATAATGTAAATGTCGGTGCCGAAAATACCAAATAAGTGAAATAATCAGAAAGCTCTAGAAAATAGAATAGAAGTCCGATTGAGGTGAAATAAAGTGCAATTGAAAGAGGAAAATAAAGAGAATAAGATGGAGTAAAAATATGGAAATGAGAAACATGTCGTACTCTCACATAGAGGGCGGACGCCCAACAGCAGGAGGAGCCGTTGCAGCAGCGGTAGCAGCAGCAGTAGCGGTAGCAGCAGGCGCACCAGCAGCTGGAGCAGACACGGCAGTAGGTACAACACCTCCAGTAGCAATCAAGACACCCACACGTGCTCTCTTCGGTCCCACACGGCTCCCCCCACCTTCACCACTGCTTTCACCGTCACTCGCAGCGCCAGCATCCTCATTACCCGGGACCCAAGTCAGGTCACGACGTTCTTCTGGCGACTGCTGACCAGAAGCTTGCAGGTCGTCCATTGCCTCCTGCCATCGCTGCTCCTCCGAAGCCCGCCGCGCCGCAACGCCCTCTTCATGGGCCACACGGTCAGCACCTAGGGAGAGCTGGCCCAACTGGAAACCCTCCCCACCGAAGGATGTGATTCCGACGCTCGCAAGAGAAAACCCTAGAATCTGCGTGGAGCTGGCAGGATCACCGTCGGTGCCTGACATGGTTCGCGCCCTTTCACCGCTCCCCCACGGAACGCACCTCGACGTGTGCTCGCGGACTTCCCGTCACACTGCAAGCAGCGTATGTGAAATCGAGCTGCGGTTGCGGCTAAATGCGTCTATTACAGCGCGCGTGCCACGGGTGTAGCGTGGTGGAAGCAAACTAGAGGTTGCGCTAGAATCAAGGTGGCAGAAAAACTACTCTAGTGACAAGCGCGAATCGGACTATTTGCAGCCAGAATCGTACATCTAGGCAAGTAACTTCAAGTATTAGCATTCGTGTGGGGAATCCTAGGTTATGAGGTAGTTTAAGGCATGCTAACTACTACTCTAAGTCCACTAGCTGCTGGCTTGTCGAAATGAGATCGACGAGGAAAAAATCCCCTCGACTTACATTTGTTCTAGGGTTTCGGCCCCTATTAGGTTAACCTATGATGGATCAGGAAAGCAGGGCAAGTCAGCCCTGGCCGGAGCGGCAATGATGGTCGGAGATGACGAGGAAAGTGACTACGAGGATTGTGCGTTCATGTTCTTCTCTCCGGTGGAGATGCCGGGGAAACCAGCAACTCTCAAGGAGGCCTTGGAGAGTAGTGATGCTGAGGTTTGGAAGAAGGCCATGGAGAGCGAGCTGAAAGCATTGAGGAGAATGATATGTGGGAATTGATGGAGCTACCCGAGGGACGTAAAGCGATAACGTCCAAGTGCCTCTTCAAGATCAAGTCGGACGCCGACGGCAAGATCGAGCGCTGCAAGTTTAGGCTTGTGGCCAAGGGGTACCAGCAAAAGGAGAAGGTGGACTTCAAGGAGTTGTTTGCTCCCGTAGTGAAGCTGACGATGCTGCGGACCGTGCTTGCGAGGGCTGCCATCAAAAGATGGGTGGTGAAACAAATGGACGTAACAACCGCTTTCGTCTACGGCATTCTCGAAGAAGAGATTTTCTTGGCGCAGGCAGAGGGGTGTGATGATGATAGTGGCAGAGTTTTGAAGCTGAAGGTGGTCCTGTATGGGCTCAAGCAGGCCCCAAGGCAATGGTACTTGAAGCTGCGAGAAGTTTTGGAGGAGATCAGCTTCACTCCCTCAACGGCCGATCACTCCTTGTTCATGCTTGGCGAGGGGGAGCACCCAGGACTGTACCTGTAGCCCTCCCAAGATCTATGGGTCATTCTAGTTGCCCTAGGAGCTCACAACGGGAGATGGCCAAGCGAGAGGGTGCAAGCCTAGAGGACTGAACCCCAGCCCAGACCACTCTGACACCATGTTAAAGAGTCTAGCCTTCAAGCCAAAATTGACGAGGCAAGGTTATAGAGTAGGTTGAAGTGCAACCCCTCCGTACCACAACCACCAAAAACACATGTACAGGGAGTTGGGTATGAAACCCCAATCAGACTTATTGCATATTCGGTTGAGAAAACAAGGAATGAAATAATCCTCATTTGGACCTGAGTCAGTAGCAAGATAATGATGTCCGATCAGTACCAAATACAGAGCAGAAACTAGCCTACTCCAACCAGAAATTTCCATAAGGTCGCGCCCTCCCTAACGAATGCGCTCCCCTTTCTCTCCCCCCACCTCTGCACCCAACTCCCTCTCCCCTCCGCTTGGAGCCTCAGGAGTCTTGACTTGAATCAGTTCAACAGCTCCATCCCAGACACCCTCAGCACCCTGCAGAAGTTGACACGCGTGTGAGTCAGCCTGGGGTAGGGATGCACACTGTGATGTAGCAACAAATGGAGGCAGCAGAATGAGAGTGATTGAGTGTGATGGAAGCATGTCTATGGCAAAATGTTCATGTGGTTTTGGTGGTAGTGGTACCGAGTGTGTGGTGCAATTTGCTATAGAGATATGCGGACGAGAACAAAGGGTTTTCGAACTGCAACACTATTGCATGGCACTCCACCCTCCTCCCCTCCCTACCTTAGTCCTCCGCCTCCGCTCGCCCCCTTCACTCCCACCCCCGTTTCTGTTTCCACATATTCTCCTCTCCCTTAATATGTGAATCTTCCACCCACATCTCTGTTCCTTCAATGCAATGCAATCCTTTTGAAGGAATCATTCCAGTGCTATCCCATTGACTACCCTACTGCAAAATTATTGTAATTTTCAATTTTGGTATACTCCTATCACTTCCCTCCTCTCAAGCCGTCCCTCCAATGCTCGTCTTTCCTTGTGCTCCCTTCACTCAGTATGCTCCCCTCAATGCATAGGGTTCCTTCTTCACTCCCCTCCCCACATTCACCCATCAGCCTCCTCGATCACAACTCTTTTACGGGATCAATTCCAGAGTCAATCGGTGACCTCACAGGCCTGCGAGCACTGTAAGAACGCTGCTGCGCTGGGCAGTCTTATTGAAGATTGCAAAGTTTGTCACAGTTCAAATCTAACAGGAACATGCACACAGGATAAACAGCCAAACCTTACCGAAGCCTATACGCTTATGGAAGCGTTTTCTATGCTTCACAATAGGCCAAGCGTCTTCAGGATCTCCAGACAATAAGAGCATGAGAAAGAGCAGGCATTATGATGCAAGAATTCATGGGGATGTCCTTCCACAATTGTCACATATCCCACATATTTAAGTGATGCAATTCTCATCAAACTTGTTCTTTGTATGCTGTCAAGGGAACAACTTCAACAACACAGTATGTCCTGTATGACATCCCAACCCAAGGCAGGTTCCTGCACTACAACTCGCTGAGTGGCACCATTCCCGCCTCCTTGGTCAACCTGGACCGGCTTACGGCCATGTGCGCCGCCTCCCCCTGTTTTTTTGTTGTTGTTTTCGTTTTGTTATTTTGCAGTATGGATTAAGGTAAGGCACGAGCTCTGAGTTCAACCGTCATCGTTGAAAATGATGCGTGGATAGAGTGTTCAACACCGAAGGCTCCCTGGTAGAGCAAACTGGTTGTGCGCCTGGAGTGGGCTATATGACTGGGTTTGTTTCCGAGGCATAACTGATTTCAGACTCCATGTGAAAGGGTGGTGCTGCAAGCTGTTGTGCTACATGTGACCTCCATGCCCATGTAGTCGGTGGACATCTTAAGGTCATTCAAGGCAAGCTTCCAGATATTCTTGTTGGCCAATTTCTTGCAGATTCTAATCAAACTGCAGGTGACTCGTTCGGATCCTTGGGGGCAAAGTTCATATCCTCCATAGAAACCAGGATGACGAATTGAGATGGTGTTTGTTGCATGAAAGAGATTGAACTTGAGGTGGACGCGTGAAATTCCAGTGACGGAGTAGATTTTTGAGGAGCACATTGTTTTCAGATTGTTTTACATTGGCATGTTCAGCATCCAGTTACCATCTGGAGAATACCAGCCCGGGCATTCGTTGGGATTGGATGCATATCTCTGGGGACACTCCATGTGTATTTGTTCAGGATTGGATGTTTCTCTCACAATGTGCAGCTCGTCCGCTACTCTCTTTGTTTGTGATTACAACCCATCTTCAGGGCCTTGTCTGAAAACTATCTTGCGGGAACAATACCTGCAGTATTCAGCACCCTCACCGCCCTGCAGTACCTGTAAGTATGTGCACATTCTTCATACAGCTTTAGAAGCTTGTACGGCCAGTGCTACCACGGAATCCCGACTGTTGGAATCATTCCATGCAAAGCGTGCATGCTTCTTCTTGCTAAACATGTCCTTACTAGGTCCCGTCTAAGCCTGTGCTTTCTTTCCCTCGGGTGTGCCCCATACTCGCGTTTGTCACTCGCTGATTGACAGTCACACGATGCATGCTTGCTCTCATTGTGCCCCCTCACATTACCTGCTTGCTCTCATCCTGTCACATCAATTGATGCCATTCTCAAGTGCCGCTCCCCCCCCTCTCTTTTATCGAACACCACTGTGGTTTTCAATCCGCAACAGTTTCCTGGGATACAACCAGCTCGTGGGAAATCTGCCCTCTCTGAAGCTCATGCGGTCACTCAAGTTGCTCGCTGCAAACTTCAACTACCTCACGGGCGCAGCAGAAGCCCCTCCTGCATGTCCCACATACCGACTAGTTCTAGATTTCAACTGCTTTGCAGCCAATCTGAACATCTGCGGCAAAGAGCAAACACAGAAGAGTTCTGACTGGTGCAAATGGTTCTGTGGAAACGAGCCCTTCAATCCGCCTTGTAGCGGCCATGGCGTATGCTATTACGCTGCTCGGAGTACCGATCTTGCATGTGCTTGCGAGTCCGGATACATTGATGGGAGCACTGCCGGGACATGTGTTGCACAAGGTATGGCAAGAGTTGACTTTTGAGTCGACTCAAAAGTCTGCTTGCGAGTCCGGATACATTGATGGGAGCACTGCCGGGACATGTGTTGCACAAGGTATGGCAAGAGTATGATCTACCTTTTGCGCTCCTTGATTCGATGAGTGCTCCAATTGCTGCTGTATCTGCGATTGCCTTTCGTGTTCATGATTTAATAACTGATGGTCATCACTGACCTGAACTGTACCACCAATGTACCCATCCACTCAAACTTCCCTCCATCCCATAGCACACACCTTCACTTCAAAGCTCAATGTCATTCCAAACATCCATTTTCATCTGAGTTCTCCTCACTTGCCTTCTCTCCTCCTTGGCAGGGCCCTACATCCCCTCTCGCCTCTCCTCCTACTCACAACCGGTGAATTTGTTCCAGTCGGCCTCCTCTGCCCCCAATGGCTCCATCTTCCTCGCCCCGCCATCAGCCAGTGCATCATGGGGAGCAGCCTTCATAAAGCAGCCCATCACTCTCTTCCTCTCGACCAGCCAAAAGACTCCCTGTGACCAGCCGATATCATTTTTGGTTTCATTTGCATTTCGAATGACTCCTGCTTCTGCTGGTTCCTCCACATCCGGCGAGGGCCTGGCGTTTGTGGTTACTGCTACGGCACCCCAAGGGGCTGCAGCAGGGGTGGGGCTGGGAGGGGTGGGGAAGCGGAGTGTGGCGGTGGAGTTTGACTCGGTGCTGAGTGTGAAGCAAAGCGACCCCAACGACAACCATGTGGGCGTCAATGTGGGCGGCTCACCTGTGTCCCTCGCCTCTGCCACGGCCCCTCTCATCCTCAACGACGGTCACACCAAGCATGCCTGGATCCACTACGACCCCTCCAGCGGTGGCACCCTACGAGTCTTCCTCTCAGCCTCCAGGCAGCATCCGTCCAAGGCTGTGGTGACAGCAAGAGTGTCTCTGTGCAGTGCGCTCAAGCCTACCGTAGGCAGTGCCTTCTTCCTCTTCGGCTTTGTGGCCGCCTCTGCAAACAACACTCAGAGGCATGACATCCTCTCGTGGAAAATTGACACCGGTGAGCTTGACAGCCTATGTTGGTTCGTTGCTAGATGATTATGGTTTCACATGGAAAAATGTATGTGGATGTTGTCTCATTCTCTGCAGTTTCCATGAGGGATAAAAAATGTTATTGTGTGTTTTTGCGTATGAATGTGTGCATGCGGCACTTCGTGTGGGCGGGTTGTGTGTGTGTGTATGCTGTCACGTTGATATTTGCAGATGTACCACCAGCAGTGGAGTGGCAATCTCAGAGCGCCGGTAAGGGCACACCTTGATCTGAAGAAAATCTCTGATTATCAGACTGGCAACAAGTAGATTACGTACATAGATAGAATTCAGGTCAGTATTTCCCAGTTTGAAGGAACTTGTACCTTCAGTTTTGAATCTGAGATATGTTTCCAGATGTCCAGATAAGCACCTAGTTCTATGCTTTCCTCATTGTACCCCTGAACTCCCAGGCACTGCATTTGGAAGAGTAGCATCAGCAGAGGAGGTGGAAGCAGGTGGTGAGGGCGAGAGTGTGCCCACATCGTTCCACTATGCCAGCCTCTCCTTCCTCCCCACTGCGGACGGTCTGCCCATGTGGAAGCCTCCTGCATTTGTCACGTGGATGCGAAACATGGCAACATGGCCTGTGAAGAACCAGCATGGATGTGGTATGGCATGGGATGGCATGTACGAGGTGTGGCAATGTTGGAGTGTGGCATGGGGGTGTTGTGGCATGGACGGGGCATGGCAGGGGTGGGGTGTAGCATGGGTTGGGTGTGGCATGGCTGGGGTATGGAATGGGAGTGGGTTTCCTTACCCATCCCTGTGCGGCTACCTCTTGGCCTTCCAACCCCCTTCCCCCTCCCCTCCTCCCTTACCCCCCGGCCCCCCATCTACTTCCCCCAACGTCGCCCATCTTTGGCCTGCAGCCGACTCCTCAGCATACGCAGTGGTGGCAGCAGTGGAGGCAGCCTACAGCATCATGGAAAGCTTATATCAGCCCCCAAGGCTGTCGGTGGAGCAGCTGCGGGTGGCCCTGTCGGCCAACTGCGACGACATGCCTCCGCGCGATGTGCTGGCCTTCCTGGTGGCTGCCACGCGCAAGGGAGGGGGGCTCGTGGATGACGCAGCAGCAGCGGCCGCCAGTCCCCACAGCATGGCGTCTGCCGGCCGGCGCGAGAGACAGGCCGCGGTGAGTTGCAGCTAGTTGTGGGTGCTGGTGATGATGAATGATGATGGAAGAATTATGTGGACAAAAAGGAGAATTCAGAGGGAGGGCATATGAGGTTTCACACTAGGCTGGGTGAAATGATAGGGAGCCTTGGCGTGTTGCACATATATACACAGGCTCATTTTAAGCCGATCAAAGCTTCGTACAAACTTTGATGAACTCTCCAGACACAAGATGAGCTGGCCAGGCCCGGTCATTCCAGGGGGTAGAGGTCTAGTCGACTCAACTGAGTCACAACTTGGACATGCTTTTTGGCATTCACTCTTTGCCTTCTCATCTTCTTGAAGACATGCAGGCATCCGTGTCCCGCACGGATCAACTGTCACTACTCATGCTAGTTGTACGTCCCCCATAGACCATTGCTGTTGCTCTTCCTGTTGCTCTTCGCCTCCAGATCCTTGCCTTTCCACTTAAATGTGCAAACACCTGCTCATTTTCTGGTTCAGTATTCTCATCATTCCTGTGTCCATCCCCCCGGATTTCCTCCTCCTCTCCCTCTCCCTCCCCCCCTCTCCCCCCAAACCCTCCCTTGTGTAACCAGAAAGAAGGGTGTGCATCGAGGCCTTGTGATGATAGCTTGTTGCCCAGATGTTGCTTGTGTCGTTTTCACGTGCTTATTTCCATGCATACAATGCACACACATCATTCACACAGCCCTTTCAATACCTACTAGGCTGGTCTCTCCTATTTCTCGTCACGCACACCTACCCACCTGCGTTTTGAAAATTGCAGAAGCCGAAGTACTACGGAATTCAGGGTTTCGAGGAGAGTTCGTTTGGAGGCTGGCTGGGTTTGCTGCTGGCAGTGCAACGGCAGCCAGTGATTGTGCGAATAGAGGCGTCTGCACCATCATTCCTCGACTACGATGGGGTGAGATGATATGGATCTGTGCTTGAGGCAGGTGCCATAGGTTTGAGGTTATGGTGAGCAGAGACTTTCTGGATGTTTCAGCTGTATGGAGTGATGCACAGTTTGTCGACCAGAAATCCCAGATAGATTGTTCCCCAGATGCACATAAGAGATTTCTGGTTCGAAGTTCGAACTGCTGCTTTGCTATTGCTTACTTCCGATACCATTGACGTTGTGGTTAAAGATGGAATGCGATCTCGTTGATATCCTGCTCGAACTTTCACAAGCTGTCAAACCCAGCCAATTGTAGACATGCGCATGATTTTGAGCCCAGACATAGTGCGGGTCAAAGGGGGACAGGAGGTGGGTTCGGATGCCTGTTTTGGTTCGTGCACAGATGGGCGCGGCCTGCCTTTTTTTCTACTGAACAACGGCATTTTCTGAGAGAGTGGCGGATGATAGATTCTACTGCTTCACCCTCTACCTTAGACAACGATATCCCTATCACCAAGCAGCAATTTCAGATCAGATGTTTCCCGTTCAAACCAGTTTCCACTCACTCCTGTTCTGTGCTGCAATCTTATCAGAAATCCAAGTACGAAAATGGCAGTTGCTTCCAGAACGGAGTGAACCATGCTGTCCTGGTGGTGGGCTACGGTGTCGAGACAAGCAACGCTAGCCCTTTTCGAATGCCTGCGCCCCTCTGGGTGATCCGCAACTCATGGGGCAGCGGATGGGGCGCTGCAGGGCACATGTTCATGGACATGCGGAGCGGGCCGGGCGTTTGTGGCATCAACACACTGCCAGGCATCTTCCCCATCCTCCGATGTACGTACTTGCCTGGATAGGTGACCATGAAATGTTTGGTTGAACGTCTCGCAGTTTTATTTTTGACTCTACGTTCCATGAGTGCCCCTCCTCTAGCTACACAACTTCTGAAATGTGTATATGGTGCGTGGTGTGTGCGTGGCAGCTACTGCTGACCTGTATGGCAGCAAGTCAGTGGTACGCTTTGCAGTTATTGTGCCCTCAGCTTCTGTTCGGCACTATTACCATGTTGCATTACAGGCTCTTGGACTATGCAATCCACGTATGCTCTTGCTCTAGCTACGCAGATTGTCCCATCTGGGTGCTATGCGTGGTGTCTGTGTGGCAGCTACTGCTGACCCATGCGGCAGCAAGTCAGTGATGCTGGCGGGCTCACAGGGAGTGGCAGGGAGCAACGCGTTCAACCCGTGTGGGCAGTTCAAGTGCTCCAAGGCCGGAGCATCCAACCGCTGTGCCTGTGCTGCTCCCCACTTCGTCCAGGCCTCCCACCCCGACGGCTCCAACACCTGCGCCTATGGTGAGCCCAGCCTACACTCACACTCCCTCGTGCACTTCTGACCACCATTTTCAACGTATTGCTTACCCAAACACCTCCTCCCCTCCTCTTCCCTGCCTGCTGCTGCCAGTGGACGCCTGTGGTCTGGCAGGCAGCAACCCGTGTGTGGTGGGCACGTGTGTGAACGATGGCAAGGGCAGCTACTCCTGTGTGTGTCCTTCAGGATTCGTTCAAGGCACCACCGCCAAGGGAACCCTCTCCTGTGCTCCAGGTGCCATTCATCCTCATCCTTCCATGCTCTGCTGCATGGAACATTCTCTTTCACGCCTGCCTTATGGTTTCCTTCTTTTTTACCAGAACGATTGGAGCTGGATAGCAAATATTAATCTTGCATGCTATGCGGTAGTTGTTTTGTCCTGATGCACATCCTGTGCTGAGACTTGCAGGTGACAACAAAGGGAGCTACACAGTGCGTGGTAGCAGTGTGTGGTGCTCTCACTTGCTGCCCGTGCTTGGCCTCACTCTGGACGAACTCAAGCAGAAGAACAAGGTCGGTTGCTTCATATGCATATTTAGTGCTCAACTCAACTGATCACCACAATATGTAACGTTTATCCCTGGAGTGCCTTTCTTTCTCCATGCCTGCAGAAGCTCTCCTGCTCCAAGCCCATCCCAGTGGGCTTCAAGCTGAATATTGCGCCGCCTCAACTTCTTCCCAAGTGCTCGCTCGTCTACACCACCCACCTTGTGAGTGCACCAAGGCAACAGTGCATCTACCATCTCACCCTGCTGCTGCTTCACTTCATCAATCTGCAAATGTTTTTTCATAGGCTATGACACTTAATGCTCTCATGTCTAAAATTAAGAATTTTGTAACTTGATTATATGTGACACTGGATGTGCCTGCAGGGCGACAGCTGTGCATCGATAGCCGCGCTGTTTGGTCTGAGCGAGGGGTGCCCTGTGGAGGGCGAGGCATGTGAGGAGGCGTTGGTGGGGCTCAACCCTGGGCTGGACTGTGCAGCACTCACGGGCAGGGTGGCCGTGTGTGTGGAGCGGGAGGAGAGCAAGGCGGGGATGGTGGCAGTGTGTGACCAGCAGTATGAAATGGAGGGCAGTGATGGCTGCGATGCTGCAAGAATAGCCGTGAATCCGCCTTTGAGCCCTCTAGAGTTTTATCGCCTCAACCCAGGCATCAACTGCAACAACCGCCTGCCGACTGCTACCTTTGAGGGCTTCTCACAGCGCAAGGTTGGCCATTTTGTGTCGCCATTTGGACATGATGCAGCTTCAGATTGCGAACGCTGTTTTCGTTTCATCCTTCTAAATACCCCTTGAATCCCATACTGCAGGCGTGCATTCACAGCAGCATCAGGTTCAGAATTGGCACATGCCCAGGGGGCACGTACAACATTTCAGCCGGAGACAGTTGCAACAATATTAAAGTGGTGGGATTCGCTAGCATCAGAGGCTGTTACAGAAAGATGAATGGATTTGAGTGCTTAGAGAAAATGCCTATTGGAACAATTGTCTGTACTCCTATTGTTTCGAGTGCCCGTGTGGGTATATGCTCAGCTGGGCTGTAAATAGAGGGCCTTTTCGAGTGATTCATCTTCATAGAATGTACAGTGTTTGTCTTTGTCCATAATCTATTTGTATAGTTTTACCCCAATGTGTCAGAGTGCTATAAGAACCATTGGCGTCACCGAGCATGAATTCTAGCTTTCTGTTTTTTTTCTTCTTCTCTGCCTCTTCATACATCTGTAACCTTGAAGCCATGATATTGTCACAAGTGTGAGACGGCAGAATGGCAACATAAGGGCATACTGAATTCATATGAACAATGTTGTAATCAATAAATAGTACCTCAGACTAAGCAACCTAGCCGAACAAAATATACGTCAAATGTAGTTTGACACACACCCTAGCCTAGGTAAGAGGCGATAACGGAACAACAACAGGGCTGACGTTTCATTTTAAGCCTCCCTGATTCCGGGGAAAATTTCCCCCTTGTATTATGGGTGCATATTTTCCACAAATAGGCTACTCTGATTGCTCAGTGTTGAAAAGTAGTTAACTCTGATTGCTCAGGGTCGAGAACTGAACATCAATGTAGTAACGCGCAGTGTGATTAACGGGGAAAAATGTTTCACCCCGCATGATTCCAACACAACGCGACATCATTTCGTGCACACCTCGTGCGCGTTACTTTCTGACCCTTTACTTTGTGAAATTAGTATTTCTCCACACGTTTTAGCGCGGGGAAGAAACGAGCAATTTCGGTCCACCAAACAGTTCGGTACCATAGATGTGCCAAGATTTCCTATTCGCTGATTACCCGCGATTCGCCAACTTCATTGTGCGAAACGCAAAAAATGTGTTGGTAACTTCATGCACACGTACCGTAATTGTGACAATCCATCCGACATCTTCGAATTATGTGAAACTAACATACGTAGAGTGTATTCATCTGTCAGACATGTTGCCGCGCGCTGCTCACGCTCTGGCTGTACTACGACCAACCCGAAGGCGGGGTTATCGGAAGAAAATTTCCGAGAAACTTCCTCCCGATAAGGTCAAATTCAGAGTCCACAGAACGCGTACTCTACATTGACAGAGTCAGTAAGAACACTTCTCTGAGCCTAGATACAATATTTCAGGGTACGCTAAAGGACTATTATGAATGGATCAGTGTTCACAAGTCAGAAATTCTGAAATTGCAGGGACCACCAGGTGAGAAGCCTGTAATCACCCTGAAATCAGGGTAATTACCCTAATAAAATCAGCCCTGAACAACAACAAGCAAACTCAGGGTAGCACTACTAGTTCAAACCTATGAGACCAAGAGGCAACAAGGCCAGCCAATAAGTTCACACAATATATCTTTTGTCAAATGATGCATATATGTTTGTTAGATTCCTAGCCTGCAGTGGGGTTCAATGTAGGGGTTATACGATTCTCTTGACACTTGTCTTGTACCCTTTCCCTCCTACTACTCAACCTTTTCGCTAAGTTACTTTGAGACTATGTAGAGTCATGGACAGAGCAATTAGCAAATAGCACAAAACTAGTAGGTGATGACCTCGTATAACTAAACCACGCTCCGTGCAGAATTGCTGATGATCACGAGGCTGATGCGCATTGGTGAAGATATCAGCAGTGTTGGCCTCTGAGGCTATTGGTACCATACGTGCATGGCCATGCTGCTGCAACTTGCGCAGTAAGAAGTACAGCAGCTGAACATGCTTCGCCTTGCCCACTAGTCAAGACTAGCTGAACAGATTCAGGGCCCTACTATTATCAGCGAACAGGACCGGGGCAGAGCGAGGTGGCTCACCTACGTCAGTGAGTAGGAAGATTAGCCAGCAGAGCTCCTGTGTAGCTATAGAGCAACAAACGACAAACGAGTTGACCTCCACGAGACATCTCCAAAACCAAGGCTAAAACAAAAGCCATGGGGTCAACGACGTAGACAAGGATGAATAACGACGTCGAGCCAGAGCGGACGAACAGAGAAGGGCCAGCTGAGGACGGTGAGAAGCCAAGAGCAGCAAGTGTAGTCCGTAATGTCTTGTGCCACTCACGTAGAGCCTGAAGCAGACCGTAAACATGCAAGGAGGGAACGATCTAGTGAAACCAGGAGGGCGGCGCACCCTAGTCTACTCGTGAAGACAGCTTTGAAGGAACGCAATGGAGAAGTCCAGTGAGTGGGGCTCATAGTCACGCTATCATGCGATGTGCAGCGACACCCAATGAGTGGTCATCTTCGTGGTGGGGGAGAAGGTCTGAAAGTAGTCTAACCCCTCTTGCTGATTGAAGCCTCTCGCTACGCGCCTTGAAGATATGCGGCGAAATAGGTGGCCGCTTCACCTTGAAGATGTACATGCCATCGACTACGTTCACCCCAAGACCGGGAATTGCATTGATGTAGGTGCTTTTGGACCTCCAAGATGCCATCTATGATTCCATAGCTGTTATCCACTAAGAGGCTTACTCACTTGAGTTTGCCTTAGTGTAGGTGCTAAGAGTCGGTATGTCAAAAACGTTTGGGTCACCCTCAGGGGCTAGCAACATGGCATAGAGATGAGGAGCAACTACCGCAAGAAAAGATATCTCAAACTGCCTGTCCTCTAGGATGTTACTAGCAAATGCAGGCGCACCTTGGTTAGACCGGTGACTGGAGGAAAGGTCAGTAACAGTGGCGACAAGAGCCGAGACAAACGAAGGAAGAGCAGTAAGGTCAGTGACATAGGAGGAAAGGATACGTGAAGCCGTAGGACGAGCACATGGATAAAATCAGAGAACGGAGGAGGGAAGACAGTGAGAGATGATTGAGGAGGAGAGGGGAGGTTAGGAGTTGAAACATGAAGGCCACATAATGAAAGCCAGGTACAGGGGACGATGGACGAGCACGAGGGTCGCGAGTAGTACAGGAAGATGTGAGATGAGACTGGTCAGGGAGAAGAGGAGGAGACCGGGAATGAGGAGGAAAACGAGCCCGACACGGGTCTGAGAGAGGAAATGGGGCAGTGGGAGGACCGTAAGTCAAAGAAAAGGGAAGACCAAAGAAGCTGAAGACCTATAACCGGAGGGGACAACGGCTGCTGAAGCTGCTAATGTGGCGGTTTTTGCAGCTGCTCTGCTGCTGCAATCTTGCCAAACCAAGCGGGGCCACTGCACCCCCAATGCACTCCCCTCCACTCTCCCCCCTCTCCCCCCCTCTCTCCCCCCATCCCCTCTCTCCCACCCCCCTACTTGCTGTGCTTCTATGCAGGGTGACAGACACGACCGTTTATAGCAATACACTCGATGTTGCCTCCCCTCTTAGCAAACTATGTATATTTGTTGTTTAGGATATACTGGGGTAGCCTATAAAGGATAGAACTCATCTTAGGGTTTGTACTTTCTCTCCTATTTGATATTTCATCATTCCGTTGCGTATCACTTTAACATGGTATCCGAGGCTAGGATATGTTATAGTCACAATAGGCTTGAATGTGCCTAAAACGAAAGATAGAGAGCACAGACGGATTTCTGCACAGCGGCTTCAAACGTTGATAGCGTTCTGCTCACAGCTGCAAATGACTTGATTCAAATTGGATCTGGAGCGTCTTCACGTCGTCTACAATTAGCAATTTAGATTGCACGATTTGATAAAGAATTGACGACACAGCGTCGGTTTGAACGAACGGTACTATGGCAGCCACTATAGTCTTAGAACACAAGATAGGAAGAGTTACGAGTTGGGAATGACTCCTAGCTCCTACAAACCCCAAGAGCCGAGGTATAGTGATGTGGAACAGTGCCACACTGTCCCCAACCATGAAGGATCTCGAAACTACCCTTCACTAGGGCCTACACCAAGTGAAATGTTACACTACACAAAGTAATGTAACTATCTTCAATATCTTGAGGTGTACCCTTTTGGCGAGCTTCGAAATCACTTGAGGCTTGACACCAAGGCTCGGGCTCTTCATCACAAACTCATCCTTGAGTTCTTGATGGGTCTGCTGCACACACCTGCGACACGCCGAACGTTCGACACAGGACAAAATAGAAACCGCGCACGACAAAATAGAAACCGCGCGCGAGACATAAACGACCGCGTAACACGCGTCTAGCGATAACTCGCTATTGACTCGACACACACACTCGACATCATGACTCAACATTCACACACAATTATAAGCATGAAATATATATTATCCCATGCCCTCATACCATTCCATATACACACACATTCACGCACACGGACAACAAGCCGAGTGCAAACCGTAGGGTTGCACCAACAAACTCCCCCTCGGATTGTTGGCCTTAGGATATGTTGCTCTCTCAGTTCAGAGCCATCCCAGCCAGCTTGCAACACTTCCAATGCTGCTGCTCCACCAGCCTCTTGGTCATCATGTCAGCCGGCTGCCCCGTGGTCTTCACGTAGCGCAACTCAACTTCACCCGCGGTTACCATGCTCCTCGTCCAATGCCACTTCACCCTCATGTGCTTCGTGAGTCCATGCAACACAGGGTTCTTAGCAAGAGCAATGGCATCCTGGCTGTCACAGTACAGTGGGGTAGGTCCTTGCTGCTCCTCCCCCAATTCAGCCAACAAACGCCGCTGCCACACAATCTCCCGTACGGCACGGAAGAGTGCCATGTACTCGGACTCCACCGAGCTCAAAGCTTGGTCAACCTGCTTCTTGCTCTCCCAAGCAGTTGGGCCTCCACCAACACAGCATATGAAGCCTCCCACACTTGTCATGTCCTCTGGTTCTGATGCATATGAAGCATCCGAGTAGGCGGTGAGGAACAAACGCCCGGGTTCAACACCATCCGCGCCCTTTT